CTCTCTCTCTCTCTCTCTCTCTCTCTCTCTCTCTCTCTCTCTCTCTCTCTCTCTCCCACCACCACACACACACACCCCACAGACTAAATTTTAAATAATCATTCCCAGGGCTGAGAACATTGTCGCATGTGTTTGTTGAATGAATACGTATTCTGACAGGCGAGAATAAGATCCTTTTCATTGGGTAAACTGTGGCTTTGCTGTCATCCTCTTTAGGTTCTAAGTCAGCTTGAGTCCTTGACGCTAATCAAGGGCATGATGACATCACACCTACTCATGGATCATTCAGGCGTAAGACCTAGCTTATACTTTCTGAAGGGGCAGTAACATGCGATATTTAGTTAGATCACTGTGCAGACGTTAGCAGGCTGTTGGCATCTCACTGATTGCCCATCTCTGGCCAGTTCCTTGGTAGAAAAAGAGATAAAACAGCAGCTGAAAGTGCATCAGCCTTCTTGGACATAGTGATTGGCGACAGCAGCAGATACCTTGGCTCCCAATTGAGTTCATGCTTTGCATGATGTCATGTCACCTTTGTAGTACAATTACTTATGGGGGAGAGACAGAAATGACTGCTGCGTCACACGTATGGAGGTACACGGACAACCTGTGTGAGGAGTCTCCTCACATCACATAGATGGCAGGGATAGAATTCAAGTCATTAGATTTGGCAAGAACTACCTTTACCTGCCGAGCCATCTCTCCAGCCCTCGCTTAATTTTTAATGTAATTCTTGAAGGTTGGTATCATCATCCCATTTTATAGATAAGAGAAACTGAGAGCTGATGTTAAATAACTTGCCCAACTAATAGAGACAACTCAGAATGCAATCGGGATCTCAACTCAGGCAGCTGCCATCCTCCTGCCACCATAGATCATTCTAGTTGGAAACACACAATGAATAGAGCCCCGTGAGATCTTTACCGTAAGCCTAAGTTAAAGTTGAAGGTTTGCCCTGGTGTTCAGAACTCTAAAACCCACAAAGCCAGGTCTCGTTCACTGGTTAAAAAGAAAAGAAAATGAAAGAGAAGAGAAGAGGGGAGGGGAGGGAAGGAGAGAGGAGGGGAGGAGGGGGAGGAGAGAAGAGAAGAGAACTGTTACTCTGGGTTTATTCTCAACAAATTTCAAATTAATTACTGCAACATTGCAGCAGGTTTTCTTTTTTTTCTTTCTTTCATTTTTAAGATTATTTATTTTATGTATGTGAGGGCATCAGATCTCATTACAGATGGTTGTGAGCCACCATGTGGCTGCTTGGAATTGAACTCAAGACCTCTGGAAGAGCGGTCAGTGTTCTTAACCACTGAGCCATCTCTCCAGCCCCCAAAATGGATTTCTTAAAGCTACATTTCATCTGATCATTTCAGACGGGAAGGCTCCTGGCGGGGAGGTTGGGGAGCAGTGCCAGGCTCTTCACATCAGGAGGTTTGGCTCTTGAAAACAATACTGCACAGTCACTGTGAGCCTTCATTTTCAGAGAGGGAAACTGCACCTCAGAGAAGGGGAAGGGGGTCTCTCTAGAACTTCTTCTCAGGGCTGCAGCAGGAGCTAGAGTCTATCTGCCTGTCTCACTGCACAGAGCATCTTCAGAATACGTCTGGCTCCTGTGAGACACTGGCTTTCCAAGGCGCTATATGAAAATTTTTCTGACACCTAGGACTTGATGTCAGGTACCATTCTCACGCTTCAGCAAGCATCGTATCCTACCCCGGTGTCCCATGTCTAGGGCTGCTCCAGCCACAGGTCTGACATGTGTCCAGGTGTGGTACTCTTGAT